GCTTTTTCAAAGCAGAAGGACGGGCTAAAAAGACCTATCGAGTTCGAAGATGAGCATTCTAGCTCAAAAATTGACTTTAAAAAAATCAATAACCACATGTAACAAAATACTAGCTGTCAAGGAAATCTGCAGCACGCATATAGGATTTTTCCTATTAAGCAGTGTAGGAAAAATCCCATACACATGTATTTGTAAATAACTTCATATATATTTGTGGGATTTTTCTCACAAATATTTTTACAGTGTGCGTATAGTAGAATTCCCAACATTTTTTACAGTATACTTTTTATTTCGTACACATTGTGAAATAACTGTTACAATAGCTGCCGCGCCCGAAAGACATCTTTGAAGTTCGCTAACCGGTTTATTGTCATGTCTGCAATGAAAACGTCCACAAATTATTACATCTTATTAAGGCACCGTCGAAGACAAAAGCAATCGGTAAGTTTGAGCTATCTTCTTTGCTTCCGCACTTAAAAAAATCTAGAATGCTCCACTGGTAACAACGCCAAGATTTCCCCGCAGCATTAACGAGCCCAACAAAGTACACGCAAGTTTTACCGTGCAAGTCCGATAGAGACGGCAGTGATCCCCCCAAGTCGCTTGGTAGGTATTCCCGTGGGATTTGCTCGTACAGTTCGGCGAAGTTGTTGACTCCTCGATGAAGACGCACCTTAAACACATCAGGAGAAATATAAATATATTAAACGTAATGCCTTGAAAAATTAGATTATTCAGAGATAAACAATATTGACAAGGGATAGCTGACGTTGCAGCACGTATCGTTCAAGACTTTAAACTGGCTGCTAATTCAACGCTCGTTCAACGCGTTTCTTGACTGCTTTTACTTTTATTTTACTTATGCGGACTGAGAGTATACTGTAATTTGGGGTGTGTCAAAAGTATACACCTTGAGTCGTATGCTACAGGATCCAGAGCGACGTTTGGCGCATAATGTTGAGCCATTTTTTGGCGTATAGATTCCAGGTCCAGGGCTGGCAAAAATAATTAAATCTTATAGACTATTCCGGCGGGAGCGGAGAAGACTCCACGGAAGAACAAAAGGGATCGCTATAGGGTATTTCAATGGAGCGCTGGCCGGAACTAAGAAGAACAAAA